GACAAACACTGCCCTGAAGGCTGCCGTGCTCCCCAAAATAAAACGCACCGCCTCATACGCACAGCTGATGCAGGTAGCGTGGGTCCATTTGGTGGGTTTTTCACCAATTATATGTATGTGGCGGTGTCAGTGTACCATCCAGAGCTCTACATCATCGTCTTTGTTTCTTTCAAGAGATTGGTTTGGAAAATAGTTACCTAGAATAAATCACTTTTAGGTTGAGTGTTTTTGGTAAAGTATTCGCGGGGTTAAATATTTTAGCTCTCCCTTTTTGGTGGTCTCTCATCCATTTTCAACTCAAACTGACGTGATATTTGGGCTGAAACTGCTGTATTTATCCAAGGCTTTTACTCTACACCTGTCTCAGCCTTTAACAGCATTTCGTAACTGGCGAACACCATATGGCTGCTGTGCCACCGTTGACCCCGTTGGATACTTTTCCCTTGTGGACGGGTGCACCGCCCACAAAGATCATGTGAGCGAATGCGTTTCAATTCTCAACCCATTGTGTTGCACAAGATGTCGGGAATTGATCGCAACGCGCTCGCCGCGTTGGAGTCGTGCCTTTCTTCTCGCTGTTCTCCACGTTCGTCCACTGCGCCTGCAGCGCGAGGCTCGGGTCTATGAGCAGGCGGCAACAGGTGCGATCACTCCCGCTCGGGCCAGGCTCAGACGCTCGCCCAAAGGCGGCCGCGCCCTGCCGCGCCTTCCCGATCCGCCGCGGCGCGCCGCTTACTTGCAATAAAGCGGCGAGAGCGTGGCGCAGAGAGAGCGAACGAGTGAGCGAGCGAGCGGCCGTGGCGGCCACCATGCCGCAGGGGAGCGTGATGCCCGGTCGAGAGCGATGCTCACCTCGCGAGCGCCATTTTTCGCCGCACCTGTTTGTTGACTCGGCGTGCTGCGTGCTTCGGCGGCGTCAGCAAAAAGCGCCTGTTGGCGCACGAAGGCCGCCGGGGCTATCGTCCTCCGGCCGGCAGCGCGTGCATTGTGTAATGGCCCTGGCCTTGCAGTGTCGCCCCGAGACGGGCCGTCGAGCGCGCGGGTGCGCTGACTCTGCGCCGCGCCGCCTGCCCGCGGCGGCACTGTTTGGTTCCCGGTCGGGTGGGCGGGCGAACAGTCTGCACCGATGCGTGCAGGGAAAACAGGCCGGGCCGACCGCGGCGAAGATGAGCCCAGTGCAGGAGCCAGACCGCGTGGAGTCGGGCGCGCACCCGCAAGCCGATCGTACGGGCGACGTGTCTTCGCAGGCAGGGCCCCCGATGCTGCTGGTGGCGGGTCTTCCGGCCTTTGCGGTTTGTGTGGTGGGTGATAGAGTCTTACGGGCGGAGGGGCTGGCCGACGGGGTATTGGCGGTGGGGTTTATTAGTCCTACAAGCCCAGCTGCCAAGGGTGTCAAATTCTAGAAAAGGTGGAAGGCTCAGCCAAAAAATGTTCACCTAACCCTCATAAACCCGAATTCTCTGCGGATTTCGGCCACTTCAATTTGCGTTTGCTATTTGATAATTTGTTCTAAAAGCTTATTTTGATATTCCGTGCATTCAAAATTGTTTTCCTGCCGAGAAATTACTTCCCATTACGAGTTAATGTGAGCTGTATCGTTGTGAAAAGCTCAAAGCCAACATTTCAGTAGATATTAGTGGGGATCACTGGTGACTACCGCTGTCGCTGATCGTGTTGTGTAACAGTCACAGCCACGATCATGAGACACATACACTTGCTGCTGTTAGAGGCAACATGTCTTATCTTTTATCTGGGTCACCCTCTATTTTTAAAATCTGCAGCATATTGTGGTTAATTGTTGTTGATCTCAATCTAAGCGTTGTCATCTGAAAAGCTTGTCAAACAATTACAGGCTGGCTGAACATATGAAGCATTTAGCATGGCGACCTCATTAGGTACCTACTGGGTGCCAGCTTGGTACAAAATCAACATGATACTAATATTGATGTATTAAGGTACCCAGGTATTACCTAGTACACCAACAGATCAGATAATTGTCTTGTATTTATTTGTCCCGGTCTTCCCTCTGCTCATAAACATTGAGTGGGATCAGAGCATCATTAGGGGGTTCAAGTCATCGTTGGGGTGGGGGTGGGCTCAGCCCCCCCCCCCGGGAAGTGTAGAAAATATCGCCCCTGCCTACTGCGGATGCCGTGTGAGGATGTCACGGGTTTTGGTCATTTTATGTGCCGTCTGGGGAATGGTACAAGTGTTGAGCTTCCTGCAGACCCTGCGAGAAGCAATACAGGCTCGGCTGTTGCTGGATCATGATTCTACCTAACAGGGGTACCAATTTTTGTGAATCATTGGGGGTGGCCTAACCGAAGACCCGACAACCTGCACCCCCTCCCTCCCCCCATTTTTCTCACCGGATTTAGCCCACTTTATTTTTATTAAACTCAATGTATGTGTTAAATCTTCGTACAACTAATAGATTTCACTTTAACCTCACAAACCATTGTGTGTCTTATGGCGCTAGGTATGTGAAGTTTATTGCATCGTTTATGCGCTCATCTGTTACGATTTGTCTCTTGTGGTGAGAGCAACCATGGCTTTTTGTTATGTGAGCGGTACGTGACGCCACTACGCGGAAAGATGAAGAAGAAGATAGCCTTCGTGTTATGTTCATTTTTTACCCACGTTTTTTTAGTATTCCACCCAAAAACATTGAGGGGCCAAGCCAACATTGGGGGGGGAGCAACTCAACATTGGGGGGCCAAGGCCCCCACAGAAGAGTACAAATCGGCACCCGTGCTATATTACTGTGGACGCTATTAATCAGTTACTTGCACAGTGGCGTCACAGGAACAGTCACACTTGCAATAACAGTGTCCGGTCCTAGCGACGTTGTGTTCCTACCTGGCAGGATACCAGGCCCCCTGCAACGCCCACGCGCAAGCCGCTGCGGTGCCGGATGTGTGCCACGTAGTGTTGGTCCCCGGAGGAGGGCCGGATGTATGCCATGTAGTGTCGGTCCCCGGGGGAGGATCCCGGCTGCCATGTGCTGACCTCGGGCAGACGTCCATCCGCCAACGTCCTGCGCAGGAAGAGCGGTCATGTCGCACTGTGCACTGACTGTGCACAAATCAGATAAGTTCACCGACAGCTTGCGCATCACATCGTGTGAGTGTGGTGTGTCTTTGTCGAGACTGTCCGCTTTCTCGTGGCCGTATTTATCGCGCAGTTGGTTAAAGGGAATGTTTGACATTTGAAGACAAGACAGCAAGCATCAGATGTCACGAAACCAGCTCGCTTATAACTATTGGTATGCTTTTTAAGTGGAAAAGACTGCTCTAGACAGCACCATTATCTATCAGTAAATGTATCATTCGATGTGTCATGGTTTGATTGCGTCATCGAGCCTTGCACAACGTTGAGAGTCAGTTGATGGCCGTTATATCCAGAAATCGCGCTCACCGACGCCAAATATGAACGCCTCGACAATTATATTTTTCTTGGACTTGATTGCCGCATGACTTTTAGAATTGAATGGCGGTATTATAACGTCATGGACGCCAAAATGACTGAAATGCTTTCCTCGATACACCTTTCCCCATTTTTGCGGGCGTGTAGCTCAGCAACTAGGGTCTTAAGAAAGGCAGGACTGTGAACAGCACCGAAAGGTCTTCAAGGTGGCTTTTTCAGTTCAAAACCCCATATAAATGTGGAACACTCCCTTCACAGGTTTCAGCGAGCGTCGCGCCATTTGGCCGGGCCACCCTACTGCCGCCCTGCGCCGGGCTGCCCGGGCTATCCTGCTCTTGCCACTGACATTAGGAGGTACCGCTCGCCTGGTGCAGGGGCTGAGGCGTCAAGCGGACCTGCCTGTGAGACGACGAGCCGCTGCTGGTACCGGACGGAACGACGCTTGTATACATACAAACCAGGAAAGCCAGACATTGTAAACAATGTTGGAAGTCGGAGGAATGGTGCTTCCTCGAAAGCAATTCCAAGTTCATTTCTTTTTAATAGGAGTTTGATATCCCCTGCCGGACTCGCACGACCGAAATCTTGCCACTTTCACACTTTTGTTTCGGCGGACAGTGCTGTGACGCTGTGACCTTTAACACAACTTCTGTCACTGTCGTATACTGGCCTACAGTGGTGACAACACGCCGAAAGGGCGAGCGGTCGACACAAATGACAATGAGTTCCTGCCCGCACGAATCGGGAGATGAGGCAGCTTCCTTCACATGCAGCTTAAGATAGATTTTTGCGGCCGAACTCGCTTGTTTTGTTTTATTTATTTCTCGAAGTTCGTTCCGTACCCTGAGCGCCCCGTCCCGGCGAGTTTGTATCCACCGGATGACATGAACTTTGCAAGGCAAGCTGCAAAATCGCGCGCAGTTAGACCTTTTGAGATGATCGGACGGCGGGAAGTGGTTGATTTCCACCACGAGGCGCCATCGGCGCAGGAACTGACATGGTCCTGCAGTGCGGGCTCGCCTGCAGCATCCACGGGTCATCTGAACCGAGCACGCACTGTGCACCGCTGCGGGCTGCACCAGTGCCCTGCAGGCCCACAGCGGCCGCGCGGCCGTATCGCGCCGATAGCGCGTGGTGCGTCTGCAGACCGCACCCTCTGCTGCGGGCTGTCAGGGCTCTGTGCAGCGCCTGGCTGCGATCAGCTGCGATCGATCAGACTGGTCCTGTTCGTCTGCCGCGCCTGGGGCGGAGCACCCACGCTGGCCATCAGACGGATTCGCGAAAGCGAAAGCCCGTGTATGTGCGCGATAGTGCCATACATGATATTTTTATAGCCTTATCGAAATCGTCCGCACATCGCCTCCGTGCCCACTCCGACACCGTTTTCATTGCCCAGAGTTCCCTGCCACCCAGACACATTCCACCGCGAGAAAAACAAGGGGACCGCGTCTGGCGCCTATTTAAAGTGTCCCCCGGCCCCCTGCGCTGCCCGTGGCGTGCGCCCAGGGCGCGGGAGGGCGGCGGGGGGGGGGGGAGCCGCGCGCGCGCGCGCCCGGACGCCAGTCGGCGATCAGCTGAGCGCGGGGTGGCACGGGGAGCAGGGCGCTCTGCGGCCCACGCTGGCATCGAGTGAAGCGGAGAGTTGCACTGCCACCTCCGCACCCGTCGACAGCGAGGCAGAGAGCGCCGCCCGGTACGCAGGTAACGCAACTCTTTGTCCCGGCGGGACGTTGGCACACCCTGTAGAGTTTTGCACGGTCGCCCCTTGCACTGTTTTTTTAGGGGAGCGGGTCGTGCCGGCGGCGGCTCCTTTTCCCCGTCGGCGGACTATGGAGCTCCCGTTTGGTGGCGGTTCACACTCGTAGCGGCGACCGCGCCGAGTAGCGCCCAAGGTCGCCAGCGTCAGACACGCTCATCCATGCCGCCAGGCCCGTCGGTTTCCAAGGCCAGTTTTCAGGATGTTGTCTGCGGTGCTGGCGAACTGCGTGCTAACTTGGCCGGCAGGCGGGCTGGGCCGACTGCGGCGCGCCCATTAGGCCGGAGGTCGTCAGGTACGATCGCCGTCGAGCCAAATGACGCCGGGACGGCAGGGCGCGGGCCGTATGGCAGGTGTGACAGCCGCCAATGCAGCTCACATCGGACTAACACAAAGCTGACCTGGTCCCACTGGGAGACGGGCCTCGGGTGCTGTGTCTTACGAACTTCTGCGCGTGCCCCCGTCCGTGAACGCCAGCCCGCCACCATGGGTGGGATGGGGACAGGGTAGGTATGATCGCATGACTCAGCTGCCGTCAAAGAGCTGCCGTCAAAGTCGGGGGCGTATTTTACGTCCACCCTGGACATCGAATGGTCTGCCAGCCGTTCATTTTCACGGTTTTAATGGCCCACTGTTGCGCGGCTTGTTGGGACGTCCGGGGGTGGGGGGAGGGAAGCAGGTGACCTCTGGCCGCTTTCGACCCTGAACGGGCGCTGCTTGTCCGCGCATGCTGAGACTGGCGCGGCGCTGGAGCGGCCGACCGGGGCGCTGGGCGAGCCGGACGCCGCGGGAAGGCCGGACCGACTGCCTGCTCTTTGTGTGGCTGCGATAGCGCTCACCGGTGCGCCCAGGTGGCGTCATGTGGGAGTGCTGGCGCCTGACGACCAGCGGGGCTCGCTCAGACCACTCGCGTGACCGTGACGGACAGTGGGACTCGATCCCGCGGCCGTGGGACCGCGAGGTAGCGTTGGGACCCATCCTGGGACCATCAGGGGCAGTGGGACCCGATGACACGCTCACGATGGACGTTGGGATCCTTTTTCACGACGGTGGCCGGCAACCGTACCCGCTTCCGTGTTCGTGATGGGCGGCGGACCCATTCCCGTTGCGCTCTTTAGCGGACAGAGGAGTCCATTTCGCGGCCGTGACGCAGAAGATGACACAGGACCACTCTCGCGGTGCCCCTGTGCAACTGATCCCGCGGTCGAGAAGGACAGTGGGCACCGGTGGCGTAGCTCGCACCGACTGGCCGTCGGACACGATTTCGCAATCGTCATTGACCCTAGAACCTGGCGACGGGCCGCGGACAACTCTAGCGGTCGTGATGAACGTTGTGACACCGTCGGCGGTCGCGAGTCGTCTCTGCTGGCGGAGATCGTCGGGCCTTCCGCGCGACAAGAAGATCGTCGCAGACCCAGCGGTCGCGCGACGGACGGTGAAAGCGAAACCGTCGCTGATCGTCCAGCAGCCAGCCGGGCGGTCCGGTCGGCCGGTTCTGGGAATCGGCCGCCTTTGTTGCGTTCAGCTGCGCAGTAACGGATCGGCGGCTGCCGGGCGCCGGCCGAACTGGTCGGCCAGTCGGGCAGCCGGCCGTCTCGGCGCCTCGGCGGCCGGACGGAGCGCGGCGCGGCCACCGCACCGGCATCGTCGGAGGCTCGACCCGCTAGCGACGGGACTGCCGGAACCGACGACTCGTCTGCTCTCGCACGGCCGCAGCAGCCGGACGTGGCGCCGATCCCCGACAGAGCCGCTCGCTGCAATCAATATGCTTGACCCTGGTGTCAACCGGCGACCTCGGTGCGCGCTGTCTGAGCCCAGGGTGCGACAGAAGTCGCACTTGATGTCCCGGCCTCAGCAGGCGCCGCCCGTCGTTAGAGCGCGCCAGTCGCGAGCTCAAGCTGGGGCGACATGGGTGCGCCGCTGCGCCAGAGCTTGCGACGTTACCGTGCGTCACACCTGCGAGACGCCCGGGCGGTCCGCGGGAGCCGGCGTATCTAAAAACAGGCTGGAGGTCACACGTGTGTGAACGCCGTGTGCTGACGTCGCATGTGTGTACTGATGCGCAGTTTTTTCCGGAATGAGGTCACGTAATCTCCGTGGCGGAGTTTCGCCGCAGTTGGCACTAGTTCGCCGGTAGCTTTTTCTGAGGTGAAAGATCCCGGTGGTCTTACGAATGAGGATGCAATCGTCTGCGCCGTAGTAGCATGCGTTGCTCCTCACGGAATCCTGGTGGAGAAAACCAGCGATGCTCTTCACTGGTTGACATCCGCCCCTAGTTTTCTGTACTGAAGGTAGCGCTGCTCCATGCGATCCTCTAGACAATGACCGTGAGGTAGGGACGGGTCGCCGTTCCCTGTGACACTGTGACAAGTTGTTGCAACACCAAGTACAACTAATTCGGAAGTATCATATTTCCCAGTGACATATCATTGCCACCATTTCAGGCATCCACGGGGACACATCAAGGACGTTGTCCGTGGCCACTATTCATCCCGTTCTCCTTGTGTCAGCGGTCCCGCGAGGTCTCCTGAGGGGGCGCCGGTCGGGAGAGAGGGGCGACACACCCCGGATTCGTGGCGCCGCCGGCCGACCGCTCCCGAATTAAACGTCTATCGACCGGGCCGCGCCAGGCCGTTTCTCCGGCCGGCGGCCGCCCTCAGCGCCAGCGGCGGAGACGTCCCGGCCGCAGTCGCCCGCGCCGGGCTCGCCGCGGCCCCGCCGTCAGCGCGCCGGGCATGAGGCGGGCTGCGCGCGGGGTCAGGCAGAGACGACAGGGCGCTGGACAGCGACGGAGGGGGCGCCGGCGTCCGCCCGGCAGACCCGCCGGCTGCCGCTCCTCCGCACCGCGTCTCAGCTCTGGCTCAGCTGGCAGCGCCGATTCGCCGTAACAAATCACAGCGCGCCGTCCCACCGCACTGCGTCGCGGGAACAGACGGGTACACCGTCACTGTTCCCTGAATGTCATCCCCCGCCTCGCCGGGGGGCGACCCGCCGTCTGTGCCGCGGGCGCGGGTAAACCTCCGCGGCGCCCGTCGCACCGCGGCCCCATCGACCCCTGGCCCACTTCCGCGCACGCGGCCCACGTGACCGGGCCGTGCTACGCAGCGGCGCCCGCCCCGCTGTCACGTGGGCGTGACGTGATCGCTGGCGACGGTGTGGCGCCGGGCCACCAAACTCATCCCTGGCGCGGCGCGGTAAAACGGCTGGCCGCTGTTGTTGCAGACCATGCGCTGGCGCGGCGGCGCGAAGGGTTGTCGACCTCGTTTTGAGCCCAGAGCGGGAGGAGTATGGGGATGGTGAGGGGGGAGAGGGGGACCAGCAGACGCCAGCTGAGGAGCGGCGCGGCTCGCGCTGTCAGGGATTACGTAACGTGCTGGGACGAGCTGAGACGCTGAAGTGGGGCGCGCCAGCAACGCGGGCGCTGGCAGAATTTGCCCAGGTGGTATCTCACAGAAGTTTGGGCAGTGCGTGTTTGCCACAAGTGGTATGTGCGCGCTCGCAGGCCACCAACGATCAGCTGAAGGCCGTGTTTTGGCTGCCGACGGCGGTTGGTTGCGGTCCTGTCATGCTACGTGGGGAGGTTCTTTTCGCTGAGATGCCCAACGACGTTCGCATGAGGCCACGATGGGTCACGTTTCTAGGTCAGCAGAAAGTAATGGCGGCAGCGCAGAGTGTTTGGATGGCGGCGATATATAATTTGATAGCTGATACTGCTAATGCGGCCAGGAACGAGTGCCGCCGGCCTCGTCCATTAAATGAGACTACAGCCGCGTATCATAGCCGAGCAGGCGCGGGCGGCGTGCATCGAACTTCATTCTCCTGATCCATACGGTCGCCCACCGCGCATTCTGGTGACCCTTGGCCGCGAGCTAACTCGCCTCCCCCTCGGGTTAAAGAGAAGTTAAAGGGAGTGCTCCACATTAATTTTGGGCTTTGAACTGAAATAGTCGTCTTTAGCACCTTTCGGTGCTGTTCACAGTCCTGCCCTTCGTAACTCCCAACCCCCTTCAGTTTCTGAGCAACACGCTGTGGAAATGGGGGAAGGTAAAGTGGGAGAGTACTTCAAAGTCACCTTGGCATAACGTCATTCAAATCCCACTATTCATGGGGTTTTTGACTTTGCCAAGCCATGCAGCGATCAAGGCCAACAAATGTAACTCGGGGCGTTCACATCTGACGTTCGTGAGCGCAATTTCTGAACAACAGCCGTCACCTAGCTTCCATTCAATATTGTGTAGGATATAATGACGTAATCAAACCATGACACATTGAGGGTCATGTTTACTAAACAGGGAATTGTGACTTTGTCTGTCTAGAGCAGTCTTTGCAATCTGTCTAGAGCAGTCTTTTCCACTAAAAAAGTACACTCATAGTTATACGTGAGCTTGTATCATCAAATATCATGTTGACTTCAATGTCTTCAGCTGTGAAGCATGCCTTTTAACATTGGCGGAGGCAGTTGCCTGACGTGGCTACAGTTGGGTGCCCTGTAAGGCGAGCGGACTGGGCAAGTCTTCTGGGGACGTGGACGGGCCAGCCAGGTCATTCCCCGGAAGTGGGTGGACCGGGCACAATACGCCCTTGAGATGGACCTGAGTGAAAGGTCATCCGCTTGGGTGAACAGATCAGACAATCCTTAAGGTGGAGAGACCTGACAGACCCTGTCGGTGACGTGGACAGACCTAATAGATTGTCTCCGTGAAGTGGACAGACTTGCCAGACTGTCTCCGTGGAGTGGACAGACTTGACACATTGTCTCTGTGGAGTGGACAGACCTTACAAATAGTCTACGTGAAGTAAACAAACCTGACAGATTGTCTCCGTGGAGTGGACAGACTTGACACATTGTCTCCATGGAGTGGACAGACCTTACAAATAGTCTACGTGAAGTAAACGGACCTGACAGATTGTCTCCGTGGAATGGACGGACCTGACATATTTCCTTTGTGGGATGGACAAACCAGACATACCTGGTAGTCGTCCGGTAGATGACTTGGCGAACCCGTTCCCTGGAATGGAAAGGCCTGATAAGACTTGACGTGGGGTGGAAAAACCCGACATACACCCTTTACTAATACACGACATACATACACGACATACACCCTTGGCTAACATACCCCCTGCTGCGTGAGGTGGTCGACCTGATTGACCGCTTTCTCTGAAGTGGACAGACCCGTCAGACCCTTTATGTGAGATACACGGACCTGACGAACCTGACCTGTAAATCACACGGACCTTTCCATGAAGTGGGTAGACCTGACAGACCCCCGCCGCACGGTTAGACAGATGCTCTCCTCGGGGGGGACGGACCCCCTCCGTGGGGGGACGGACCCCCTCCGTGGGGTGAACAAATCCGAAGACCCGCCGCGCGTCGCAGCCAGCCCAGCCCGGTGCGGCCGGCCCGCGCCGACGCCGATCGATACTTGCACCCCGCTCGGTCTGGTGGCCGCTGGCACGTGTTCGGACCGAGCGCGTGGACGCCCACGCCACCCCAACCCGGCGGCCCGTGCGTGGCTGCCGCACCTCCGGCGCCGCCAGCTGCACCAGTCAGGCGGCTTCACGACGGTCGGCGGTCGCCCGCGCTGGATGGTCTGGGACCGGTCCGTCCACCTTAGTTGGCGGCTTGTCCCAGTCGGACGGTGAAGGAGACCCGTGTCGGCAGCCTGGCACCGTTCCCGCACGAGCAGAGGGTCCCGGCAGGCGGTGCGCCCATCCCCCTGACGTCACTGCGGGGGACACGACCCGCAGACGGCCTGGCAGCGGCTCGTGTTGACTGGCGGCGGGCCGCCTGCTCGCGGGTCGCCAGGGCTGATGCACGGACAAAGACGCTGCTGGATGCTGGGGAATCAGCGGCCTATGGGCAGCCACGGACGGGCTCCGGATAAACCGCTCACCCGCTGGTGCCGTGTGTCACTGGTATTGACTGGCACCCGTTCACGTGTTCTTTGAAAGACGGGTCTCGTCTAGTGAGCGCACGCATTGGGTGGGTGGGAGATAGGTAACGAAAATTACTCACGCATGAGCGTTTTAAAGGCTTTTCCCATTTTTTCGTTGGAAATGGAAGTGCTCGGGTTGGAAGGCTTCGACCATGGCGTTTTGAGATATTTAGCTTGTGTAGTTTGGCGTGGTCGGCCGCCCTCGTCGTGATCGGAGACAGCTTGCCAGCTTGGCAGCTTGCCAAGTCCTGACAGCTTGCCGTGTTGTCAGGACCTGGCAAGCTCAACTCACAGTCAGTAGCTTCATCATGCCTGTGTTTGGAGGCCAGGACTCTGATAGACAGAAAGAGAAAGTCTGCTGGTGCTTAAACGCGTCGATGCATTGAAGAATCGTATGGGCCTGAAAATTAAAAATAATAACAACAGAGGCCTATGCCGCACAGAACATCAAAACCTTGTTGACAGCAGAAGAATTGGTGCTGCGCTTTCCACTCCAGAAAAGGCCCACCCTGGCCTAAGCTGGACCCCGGCCGGGCTAGTGACTGGCTTTCAAACCCGTTATTTTCATGGAAACAACGGTGAATGGACGGGATTTCCTAGTGTGTCGGCCCAGCTGGAAGGCCTGACCACGGCATGTCATAAGCAAGCAGCAAAACACGCTCATTGTCTTCAGCTGCTCCCGCGTGCGCCGTCCTCCTGCGGCGCTGGCGCGGTTGCAGTGAGCAATCTGGTTCGCAGCTGTCTCGAGGCAGAGCGTGGACCAGTTCGTTTTACGACCCATTGAATGGCTGGGGCGGCTCCGTAACAGGTGCGCCGTTCGACCCGACGGAGCTGCGGTGAGTTGCGCCCGGCGGCACGGGGTGCGGTCCGGCGCCTGCTTGCCGCCGCAGTCTGCCGTCCCGCCACCCAACCGCGCGCTTCGTGTCCCGTGTGCGGCTACACGCGTGGCGGGCGGCGCTGCTCGCGTCGGTGCAGCAGGCGGGCGAGGAGGCGACGCGCCGCTCGTGAGCACCGCTCGGTGCCGCCGGGTCGGGCCGCCTCCAACCGTTGGTCGGTCGACCAGGTTGCCTGCCCCGCGCCACCTACTCCATCGGCGGCCGGTCACGACAGCCGACACGGTCGGCAACAAAGCCGGAAATAAAGCCGAGCGGCGGCGTCGCACGCACCGCCAGGCCCGGCTTCGCCCGGTGCCGGGGTGGGGACGGCGCGCGGCGGGGTTCACTGGCCGGTCGCACGGCGCGGACGCAGTTAGCGGATGGCGACCGCTGCACTCTGTTGCCAGGCGCGTTGAGCGGGCCTGGCCTGGCCGGCCGTATGACGCCAGAACTGCCGGCCGCGCGTACAGGCAAGGGGAGGGGAAACGAAGGGAGTAAGGAGATCCAATCTTCAAAATAGTCATGTGACGCCTGCGGCACTGCATGGAGTGAGAAATCAATAAACACATTCAAAAAAGATGGGTGCCAGCGGAAGACTTCCGATCGGTGCCAGCGGAAGACTTCCAATCCGTCCTGGATGGATTGGCGCTGGCCGCTCACTGCTGAAAGTTTTTCTTCATTGGCGTTCATCCTGCCCACCGTCCCAGCTCCGTTTCAGAACCATTTTTTCCTGCATCTCTCAGGTGACAAGTCCCGTCATAGGTGAAACAGCTTTAAATGCTGGTAGACATGACTGCACATCACAACCGTCATAACACGCGAAATGACTAGTCACGTCCAGGGGTGAAGTTTTAAGTTGGGGTTTGAGCATGGGAAAGGGTCAAACCTACCGGCTAGATACGCTAAACAAACGGGTTTGCCCATGGATTTCACCCTTTTCCTCCCTCCCTCTCAAAGGGCAGGGCTGGACCCTTCGCCCCCCCCCCCCCTCCGCCGTCAACTGGATACGAAACTACATCCATGATTCCGCCCCCTCGACGGCCCGTCCCCACCACCAACCGTGATGATTCATGTTATTGGGGGATGCCTCAGGCCCGGACCCTCTGTTCGTTATTTTTTGATGCTCCGTTGCCCGTCAGCTGTTGGTGCGCCAGGCGCCTCGAGCCAGTGACAGCGAGCCAGTTGAAAACAAAGGATAGTGGGGTTGCCCCGCGCGTAGGTGGTGTGGTGGGCCTGCGCGTGAAAACCAGGTAAAGGAGAACGATTAGACGGCGTTACTGGTGCTGTTTGTGCTTTTCTTACGCCGTTATGAGTATCGTTGCGTTGTTGGTATTACGTTTTAGTTTGGGTTTCGTGCGTCATACGCAATGGCCAGGCCGATCGATTGTTGGGTGTCCGCTTGGCTGGACCCTTCCCCATGGCTCATACGGTGGGAAACATTGTCATGCAAAAATTCACGCATTTTGCCCTCTAGGTGTACTTTTACCATCGGTGGAAGTCATGAAGAGGTCACAAATTCTGCGAAGAACTCGGGACGATCAATCTTAGCCATGTCATTGATCTGGCTGATGAAATGTGATTTCAGCAATGGTCACACTCGTTTTTGTCGTCCATTGAGCGTGAAACGCATCAATAAATGTTGAATCTGAAATCTTTCAGTGGTATACAAGTTTGATATCCTGTACTTTGCATGGGCTGCTACACCCCATTAAATTTATGTGGAATATAGGTCAATAGCCACTTGTTCAGTTGTGCTGCCAGACTGACCTGCATGGAGCACTATTGCCTAGAGCATCCAATGGTTATATGCATTTGTATGTGCTGTGAGCATATTTTACTATTAAGGGGGAGACTCAGTGCATTTTGAAAAAAGAGCATCATAATGTTACCATTCCAAACAGGGCTGGTTTTAACAAGAACTTTTTAGACAAGGTATAAGAAAAATGTCACAGTATGAAGAAACATGACACTAGATTATGCAAGCTGGTGTAGCTTGTGCTGTTCTGGGGACTTTGGCATCCAGTTTGTGTCTGTGCTGCTCTACATGTGCGGCACTGAGTGCAAGGATGTGTTTGTACTTAGTTGGACAGTCCCTTAAGCTGAAATTAGATGTTTGGTACTTGTGATGCAATTTTCTAAAGGAATGATATGTATGCACTGGTCCTGATCATGATCTTTAAAATCACTGAACCATTTGCCCCTATCTTGCGGTTGTATAATGCATATTTCATTGAATGTTTGCCAGTAGGAACCATGAACATCTCCAGCCACCACTTAAATTGTTTAAGCATGTTAGTTGTGGAGACAAGACTCAACTCTTGATGTTGAAACTTTATGATCTTGAATGGGTTGAGGCTCAGCAATCACATACTATATTTATAATGGTATTTTACATTCGGTTGGTTTCAGGTATATTGTTAAGCTGTGGATGTATGTGGTATCATGTATAGGTGGTATATACCATGTCTCCTTGGTAGCTGGTAATAGGATATATGTGTGCTGACATAGCCATAATAGCAACAGTATGGTCATGCACCTCATAATCTCTGGAGGAGTAAGTGAGTGATGTAGTGGTATAAGTAAGTATTGCTTAAATACTGAGTCAGTAGTAAGTAATGTAAATTTAAGCATAGGAATTGGTTTAAGATACTGTCTGATTAACTTTTTTGCCATATGCTTACCAAATTAAGGTTGAGTTAATTTTGAAGGTGACATTGGTGGCATTGTGTTGATTACTAAGAATTGCAATGTCATGAGTTGTTACAAGCTAATGTTTATGTGCTAAGTTTGTTTCACTCTGTGTTATGTGGAATGTATAGCTGCCCCCATACTGGAAGCCATTATATTTGTGATATAGTGTCTAGCAGTCATTGCTTAAAAGTATGCTTGATAAAAGATTGTGAAATGCAAATCTTTCTCTTTTTCCAGCAACACTTGCACAATGGGGCTCCAGTGACAAGAGAAGCTGTAAAAGCACTCCCAAAAGGAGCAAATGGAGTCCCATCACATTGCATAGCTGAGTCTTCAGACCACCAGAAGATGGATAGTTTGGGGGAGTATGAGTACTCCTCCAAAGATCTCATTGGCCATGGTGCCTTTGCAGTTGTGTACAAAGGAAAACTGAAACAGGTACAGTATGCATTTTTTACATCCACAGGGGAAGGTGGTCTTTATTTCTGATTATTACTATCATTGCTATCATTTTTCACACATTTGCATGAGTTAGACCAGGGCCTAGGCAAATTGATAATGATAAGATGCATTATTTGAATGCTAATATGAAAATCATATGCTAGGAATATGTTGCTTAATGATATAACTATCCAAGTACCATTATATTATGTAGACCTCTTGACCAAACCTCATTTCATAGCAAGCTAGAAAGATGAGTTGTGTTGCCAATAATCTGTGTGCAGCCACAGACATAATCTCACCTGAGATGTTACTGGGGTACCTTCCTGGTTTGATGCCATTGTTTGTGGCCAAAGTGCGGGAGTTTCATCTGCTCAAAGGCTACTGGAGTCCAAACCTGATGAGCAACAGTGTTGGCTGCACCCATGTTGAGAGTAAATGAATGGTGAAAGAAAGTCATGGTCCACATTTGTCCTCATCTTAAAAAAAACTATACAAATTTTGTGGCATGAAGTGTGCTTAAGTCATATCTGGATAAAAATATTCACTATAGAAACTTGAGTGATGACCATAAACATGGTTGGTCCCTCACTATAGCAGTCCATGGGTAATCTTTCCCACTCTGTTGAGCGAAGACTGCTGAGGCATGTCATAAGCCAAGTGACATGCAATTTCATACAGTGTCATGACATGACTGTCCAAAGTGAAAATTTCCCTGGTTTTGAGTAGTCTGGGGTAATAATTAAATCTATATGATCTCTCCCTTCTCACCCATTGATTTGTTTCTGAATGGCACCAGGCTGCTTGCCACTGCAGCACCAGGATGGTGGCTTTAAATTTTGAAATGGACCTGCTGCAACATGGCAGAGAGTCAGCATTATCACCATCATGTCATATAATAGGTGGTTTAACCTTCATGGAAAAGGACAAATAATGGGTGATAACTGAGAAGTTTGTTGTATGTGGCTGTATCCCAAAGTTGAGATCTTAATATTGATCACTGAATGACATTTTCAGTAACATTTTCTGTTTTTGTGTACTTTTACCATTTTGAAATGCATTTTGTAGGCTATGCCTTCATTCAACCTGTAAAAACTCACTCTACTCAGCTGATGGCTGAGGCCAGTGATGTCTTTAAACCCATGTATCACCTTCTTACATTTTGAGCTACATTTCTGCCAAACTGTATGAAAAAATGATGAGATGCAGGTTGTGCACATGTTTTTGTTGCCTTGCATCCTCTCAACCAAATCCTTTTTGTGTGTTGTAGAATCCAGACTTTGTGGTGGCTATCAAAAGCATCACTAAGAAGAATCTGGCCAAATCACAAAGTCTGCTGAGCAAGGAGATCAAGATTCTGAAAGAGCTAACAGAGCTTAGGCATGAAAACATCGTAGCACTGCTCGACTGCAAAGAGACAGCCAACCATGTACATCTGGTCATGGAGGTGAGTTCAACCTGTATCATGGAAGTTCATCTTCAGCGCCAAAGCTCGGCCGTATCGAACTGAACACGAACGAATATCTCGTGTCCAGAATAACGAAATCGGTCGGATATTTTCGGCGCCATTCTCCGTTTGTCTGCTGCGCTGTTTTCGTGTTCGGGGAGCGGTTCGGGTTCGTTGTTTTCTCCTGCGGTCTCTGACGACCACCAAGCCCCGCGCCGAGGTTTTGTGCTGCGTGAAAGTGATATGACCGCAATGCAGACTCTTGTGGAAGCCGGCGGTCGGAGCTGTTTCCGCTCTCCGTGGCCGTCGCTCGTACGCATGCTTGTGCGCCTGCTGATGGCCGCCTCTCTCTTGCAGTACTGCAACGGAGGCGACCTGGCCGACTATCTGCACGGTGAGTCTGCCTCTCTGCTGCCGACGTGGAGCGTGTGCCACTTTGTGTGTCCGACCCGGCTCTGGCGCACCCGGCACTCTGCAAGCAGGAGGCAGACACCGCCAGGTGGAACGGTGTCTGCGGGAGGGTGTCTGCCGACAGTGTGGTCCGATTTATCACCTCTGACCGAGCCGCGAGTGCGTGCTATCATTGGAACTGAAGTTCGAGGAGGGACTGGGACGAAGTGTGCGTTATCCATGGAACTGGAGTTCGGGGAGGGACTGTAACGATTTCGGCTGGTGATAGTGAGAGTGTCCAGGCATCGCTCCAAGCGTCCAATGCGGGCAGTATTCCTTCGTCTATCCTCTGCCCGTGTGGTGCTACGCAGGTTGGACTGCTTACCGGTGGTATTATAGTCCAGTTCATTTAAGGAAGAGAGACCTGCCAATCAACCCTAAGTGTGCGTTATCACGGAAGAACATCAACAGCCTGACATCTGGGTCTGTGTCCCGCCGTTATTAAGCACGATTTACCCATGCGTATCCATGCGTATCTGCATTGCGTGAGGAAACGCACGCCTAAAAGCAACCCGTTTTTAGAGTACCGAGGCCAGCCCCGCTGACTAAGTGCCGACGTAGGATACGTGATTCTCTGGGCCGACCCTCATGAGATCACCTTCAGGGCCGGCCGCCCCCACGCGGTCGTGAGGCTCATGCCTTGGTCACATCTGACGCCGATTGTCAGACTGTCACATCCGATCACAGCGGACCTCGAACTGTGCGAGTCCGGGCTGTTGCCCTGTGTTCTCTGGCAGCCTGTAAGGTCGACACCCGCTCCGCCTGTGTTGTTGAGCAGGTCCATGCGACCCGCATGACATTGGTCCGACACTCTTGCTGGAGAGCGGTGCTGCACCCTTGTCCTTAGCTGGAGAGCTGTGCTGCACCCTTGTCCCTGGCTGGAGAGCGGTGCTGCACCCCTGTCCCTGGCTGGAGTGCGATACCGCACCCCTGTCCGTGGCTGGACATCGGTGCTGCACCCTCGTCCCTGGCTGGGGAGCGGTGCTGCACCCTTTTCCCTGGCTGGAGAGCGGTGCTGCACCCCTGTCCCTGGCTGGAGAGCGGTACTGCACCCTTGTCCGTGGCTGGACATCGGTGCTGCACCCTTGTCCCTGGCTGGGGAGCGGTGCTGCACCCTTGTCCCTGGCTGGAGAGCGGTGCTGCACCCTTGTCCCTGGCTGGACATCGGTGCTGCACCCTTGTCCCTGGCTGGACATTGGTACTGTACCCTTGTCCCTGGCTGGACATCGGTGCCGCACCCTTGTCCCTGGCTGGGGAGCGGTGCTGTCCAGCAGACCCTCGGATCCGCACTTCCCCTATCTTGCACTCGCTTGCACCTGTGAATCAGCGCCACCGGTCAGGGCTTGTCCAGCCAGTCCCCGGCGTCCGTGATTCAGAGCGAGCCCCGGACCCCGCCCCGCCCCGCCGTGCACCGGTCCGGACTGGCGTCACCGGGCCGTCGCGTGAGCGGTGCCCGGACCCTGGCTGACCGCTGACCGGCCGCCGCCCGTGCCCGGCAGCCAAGGGAACGCTCAGCGAGGACACGATCCGGCTGTTCCTGCGGCAGCTGGCCGGCGCCATGCGCGCCCTGCACGCCAAGGGCATCATTCACCGCGACCTGAAGCCGCAGAACATTCTGCTCTCGCACCACCCGGCGCGCGCCAAGCCGGCGCCGCACGAGATCAAACTCAAGATCGCCGACTTCGGGTTCGCGCGCTTCCTGCAGGACGGCGTGATGGCGGCCACGCTGTGCGGATCGCCGATGTACATGGTGAGCGTGACACTGCCGTCGGTCGGGCCGCTCGCTGCCTCGTGTCGGGCGGCGCGGCGCGCGGCGTGTTGTTTGGAAGTGCTTATCGATCGGTTGCGCATCTGTTTGGCGAACGGTGGCGTGTTTTTCCAGCTGGGTCGAACTGCAGCGAAGGTGTCTACACTCATCAGTATTGATCCCTTTTTGTGCGTGTGGGACGGGCGGAAAGTGCACGACAACTGGTTTGGCGTGAGTTTCGAAACACGTCATTTTGCCTAATTTGCGTAATCACCAGAGTGAACGACGGACGCGGCCGTCGTCAGTAAACAGAGGTATCTTATCGCCAGTATCCCGCGCTCTGTCCGCGTTGTTTGTCGGCCGCGGGCGGGCGGCTGGAGCGCCCTCTGCCGACCGCCGTAACATCGTCACCCTTTCGTCCGCAGGCCCCCGAGGTCATCATGTCTATCCAGTATGATCTCAAAGCTGACCTCTGGAGTTTGGGCACCATCGTCTTTCAATGCCTGACCGGCAAGGCGCCGTTCCACGCGAACACGCCGCAGGCACTCAAGCAGTTCTACGAGCGCAATGTGAACCTCTCACCAAAGTAAGCCGGTGGCAGGTGCTGAGGTGTGAGAAGTTGCAACGGCGGGGAGCCAGCGCTCATATATCGTTATCGTTCGCCCCGAGAAGGCAGATAGGTGTCACGCTGTGAACATGTGTGTTTCTAATACATCATTTTACGCAACGCACTGGTCAAATTAACGGCATCGTTTCCGATGGCTGGCTGGTAATGTGATGCGGTGCCGGGCGGAAATTCAAGTCAGTGATTGGCTCTGGTCGGTGAGCTGCCATGTGCGTGTCGCCGTGCTCTGGCGGCGGCGTCTGCTCACGTTTCGGCGCCGGCGCCGCGGGCGGTCCGTGCGTGACCGATCCACCCGCCAGCTGGCGCGGCCGTGCGCCGGCCTAACGCCCCGCCCGGCGCCCCCCAGAATCCCGCAGGGTACCTCGTCCGACCTGTGCGACCTGCTCACGCGGCTGCTGAAGCGCAACGCGCGCGACCGGCTCGAGTTCGACGAGTTCTTCAACCACCGCTTCCTGCGGCCGCCGGCGGCGACGGGCGGCGGCTCGGCGCCGGTGGGCATCAGGGCGGCGGCCGGCGGCGTGCCGTGCGACCTGTCGGCCAGCCCGGCGCCCGCTTCGCCGCCGCACTGCTACGGCAGTCCGGCCAGCCCGCGGCCCGGCTCACTGCCGCCGCCGCTGGCGCAGAGCCCGGGCACGGCCGCCGCCGCCGCGCCGCAGGCCGCCGCCGCCGCTCGCCGCCCGCCGGCCGACGTCGACGAGGAGGGCTTCGTCATCGTGTCCAGCGAGATGACGGAGGAGATGCCGCAGGCGCGCACCACTCGGTGAGTGCGGCTGTCGAGGTGCTGATTAGAGGCGCTAATGGCTGCGGTGGGAGGGAAAGCAGTCGCCCTGTTGATGCTTTCCTGTGACGCGGGCTGCAATTGACCGTTTGTCCGTTGTCTGTCGCCTGATGTGCTGCTGTTGTCTTGGGGCTGTCGTTACACGTGGCTTACCGTGCGTCACGACCACGCCGCTCTCGACCGGCGTTCGATCGCGGCTCCACTGTCAGCCGACTAGCTGGGTCGCGCTGGTGGCGCTGGTGACGGGCGCCGAGCTCTGACCTCTCGCCGCCGGCCGTCGCAGGGTGTCTTCGACGGGCTCCGAGGGCCGGCCCATGTCCAGCTCGCCGGGCGGCCAGCACAGCCTGATGGCCGAACCACAGCCGGTGCCGTCGCAGAAGCACACCTACAAGCTGCTGCGTCAGTCGAGCGGCGGCGGCGGCAGTGGCGGCGGCGGCTCGGCGGCCAAGGAGGCGGCCGCCGGCCCGCTGCCGGCCGAGGTAGACGCGCGCTCCATGTCGCCGCCGGCCGTGCAGTTCGTGCTGGGTCCGTCGCCGACAGCCGGCTCGCCGCGCCGCTGGTCCGTCTGCAACTCACCGCCGGCGCGCAGCCCGGTCAGCCCGCGGCGGCGCAGCGGCCGGCTGACGCCGCCGGCGCTGCCGCCCGTCACCGAGGCCGCCGACCTCAGCCTGGTCAACATGCGCAGCGTCGACAGCTGCGGCAACATCAGGTGAGCGACCGACGTCTTGTTGAGCGGGCGGCCGTCTCCCTTCGAATGGTATCGAGCGGTGTCGCTGCCGTCCCGGCATAGCCGCCTTCGGGCACTGCGCGGCTCTAATCTGTCTGCGTTCAGCTAGTCCTTCGAACGTGCGCGTCTGTTGCCAGTCTGATCTGTAATCCCTCCTCCCTCCGGGCCGCACGAAATGCGTGCCGGGCATCGCGCCAGCCGCCGGGCTTGTGTGGTTGACGGCCCGCGCGCGCCCCGGCAGGCACCTGAGCGGGCGGGCCATGACACTGCCCGAGATGACGTGCGGCTACCCGCTGCCGTTTCATCGCTCGCGAACGGACGCCAACCTGCCGTTCCTGCCGCGCCGCGCCGCGGCCGCCGCAGCCGCAGCCGCCGCGGCCGCCGCGGCCGGCGCCAGCTCGCCGCACAACATGGTCGTGCCGTACCAGAGCGGCCTCGGCAAGGACGCACACACGAGTGAGTGCCGTCGGCGGCGCCGCTGCGGTCGGGGCGAATCGGAAGACGGCGTGGCTCCGTATTTATGGCGCATGTCTGCGAGCGTGGGAGGGCCGGTCGGGGAGGGAATAGCCCCGGTTGATGGGTGTGGAATGCCGTAAACACGGGTGGAATGGGAGCCCGCGCGCTGGTGCGGATATTTGGAGCGACGCGGGGTAAATCCGTCGTCGGGTTCCTCCTCTGATGGTGCCGTGGTATGACCGGTCTTGGCAGACACGCGCCGGGCACCCGCCTTCGGAATGTCCCGCGTTCTGCTTGAAGGGCACCAGCGCCAAACTGCGCGTGTGCTGTCACAGCGTGGAGCCGCAGCTCGGCTGCAGTGCACCGGCGTGACGTGACGCTGGCTGTCGGGCGCGCGCGGGGAGGGGGGGGGGGGCGGCCACCTTTGTTGTCAGGCCCAGCACGCCTCGGCCGAAGCGGATATCTTGGCGCGCTGTATGGTACGCCGGCGTTCGGGGTCGGCGGCTTTGCGATGGCCAGGTCAGTTGTCTGTTGTGGATGGGTTAATGCCGAGCAGCTGCCAAGTGGCGGCCGACCTCGCGTCGACACGGCCCGGCGACGCCGGGTTCAACGCGCCGAAGGCTGCCGTGCGCTCCGGGCAGCTGCCGCCCACCTGCGGCTTGACAGCTGCCTTGTCTCCCACCCGAGGCGGGGAGGGGCGGTCGCTGGCGATGGGCGCGGCGGTGTGCGGTTGGGCGCGGGTGAAGGGTATATCCGCGGTCCGTGAACCGCACCCTCCTAGCCAGACGAGTGCTGAGTGACGCCGTGCAACCACAGCCACGGTCGCGGCTCGAAAGGCCGTCTTTGTCTCTCTTCGCCGCCGGCTGGCGCTTGCAGTGTGCGCCGCAGGGCGGGCCGACCCGCATGGTCCGTTGACCGGCACGGGTGGGTGCGCCGCCGGCGGGACGGTCGCCAGGGCCTGCGGTCGTCGTCGCCGGCGACAGACGGCCGCGGGACAGCGACCGCGCCCCGGGGGATCTCGGCCCCGCGGTCGGCCGCGCTCGCCCCCGCGGACGCACCTCAAGTGCCGAGCGTGACGCCGAGACGGCCAGCCGCGCTGCGCCGTGCCATTGATTCGCGGCGCGCCGTCGGAGAGAGGTCGGCCCGGCTCTGCTAAATCGGCCCCGGCCGGCCTTGGCGGCCCGTGTGTATAAACAGAGCCGTGACGTCAGGACTGGGCGGCGTCGGCGGGACGACGGCCGTCTGCGCTCCGCCGCTGGCGTCCGGCCAGGACGGCGACGCCGGGGAGCGCCCCTCCCCCTAGTGAGCCCGCCGCGCCGGCCGTTGGTGGCGATGTGTGGTGTGTTCTGTGCGACCCGCGAGTCATGCGGCTGCGGTCGACGCCGTTGCAGCCTCGAGTGTTTTCCTTCGCCTGCGCCTGGCCTGTTATTGAATCGTTCAGCGGAGGTGATATGACTGGGAAAGGTTGAGCTGTTCCATTTGGCGTGCTGCTCCCACAGCTCAAAGTGAGCCAGCTGTGGTTGTCTGGGTTCCACCGCGCTCTGCCGGTCCAATGTCGCCTGCGCGTCACCCCTCCCCCCCCCCCCCCCCCTCACGGCTGGTGAGCCACCGTCACCTGTCGGCGGCCACAGCCGGTAACACAGGAGAGGCGGCGTCTGCGGCTGCCAGAGGCGGAAGCCGATGCGGAGCGGCGTCACTGGTGCGGCCCGACCGGCCCGGCCCGTCGCGCCAGCTCCCCTGACGGCCCGACGCGCTGTTGCAGGCCCGCCGCGCGCGCCCGACAACATGGGCTTCCCCGAGTCGCCGCATATCACCGCCTTCGGGCCGTCGCCGCCTTCGCTCGAGCCGCCGCTGACGTTCACGGCGCCGGAGCTGCGTGAGGAGACGCTGCTCGATGTGAGTGCCGGGGCAGGTGGTGCGTGCTGGCGGCCGGCGACGGCGCACCGGCCGGCCGGGTCGCGCGCCCAGCTGCTCCCCCGCCGCTGGACCTGAGCGGACGGATGACGTCACCGTTGTGGTGGACCCGGGGCAGCTGGCGAGGGATTTCACGTTCTACCATGCAGATCACCCCAGTGACGGCATTGCATTAGGTGCATTTAGCGCCAGCGGACCGGTTCTTAGAACTTTGAAGGTGCTTCACTTTCAGTCTAGGATTTTGATTGAGAAGGAACACTAACACGGTTTGTGGTTGTGGTAACCGGTATTTGTCCCGCACCGGCACGTCTCAACGTCTCAGGGCACGCCTCAACGTGAATACTGTGAATTCCAGGGCACGTTGAGACGTGCCCTGGAATTCACGGTAAACAATCTTCCAGGTGTAAGCGGAAAGGCTTGCAACGTATGGATGCCTAATAACCATTTACCGCATTTTGTGTGCGAAATTTACGCTGACGAAAGCGATTCGGTGTAAGATGACACAAAGCCCTGCGTATCTGTGCTTCAAATTAGCTGGGGAAGCGATTCGGCATAAATTTCACTCGCAAATGTGGTAAATAGTTATCATGCATCGATAAGCAGTGAGTCGTCCCGATTACAGTTGGAAGATTCTTTACGACGAATTGTGCGGGTCCGTGGGTTTAGCCGGCTGCTGAGCAGGTCCTGTGGCGCGCAGCATGTGCCTGGCATGCGAGGTGCTCATCAGATAGCCTGTCGCGGCCCCGTCCCCACAGAGTGCTTCGGAGAGGTTGTATGGGTCGGTGGTCCGGTTTTGCTTTGCGGGCCGACTCCCAGGCGCTGCAAGACGAAGCGAAATGAGCGATGATTTCCGCGCACATCCTTCGTCACATCTGTCGGCTGTGTGGATGTGTTCACGCGTTGGCCAGGCCGGCGTGTGTTTCGGGGCATGTTTTCTGTAGCTGCGGTCCCGACCCTCGGCCAGTTGACAGCGCCGGCAGTAGTGGCAGCAGCGGGAGCTCGGTGGCTGCGCCGACCGTCCCGTGCGCACCGCCTGAACCCCGACCGGCCGCTCCTTTCCAGGAGGTGCATAACGAGACGCTGACGAAGCTGAACTTCATCATGGCCCTCGTGGGCTGCATCACCGAGCTGGCCGAGATCAAGGCGACGCCCTTCTCGGCGCTGACAGGTGAGCGCGGAGACCAGGCGCGATCGCCGGCCATCCGCCCGTGTCGTGGCTTATTCCCGGACCGGTTTTCACTTGGCCTGCTCCAGGGTCATTATCAAGGCCGGCGGTCGCAGCCGGCGCGGCCGTGTTGCGTGGCGTTGCGTCTGTCAGCCCGGTCGCGACAGCGACCTATCTGTTTCCCGATCGGTGTCGGGTGTCGGCCGCGGGCCACCTGTGACCGCGACGCGCCGAGCCATCGCGAGCCGCTCCAGCTGTCCGCTATGGAGACGCTTTGGAGACTGGAAACGTACCGCGCTCACGAGCGCAGATGTGAAAACCCGCGCCACCCCGCCAGGAAATTTCTGGAAAATCTTGGTCAGGCCCACAAGCTTGATTTTGTTAGCATTGGTGCAAAGTGTTGTTAGATATGTTGGCATGGCTCCAATTGTAAAAAAAAAAATAGGAGTAGCCGGAATGATGCAGTCATCAGTAAACGCGCATGGCTCATTCGGGCCAGAGATATAGCGCCCGACGTCAGCAGACTTTCGCTTTGACCGCAAGCTGAACCTCAAAGTGTCAAAGAAACTTTGCTACATGTCTCCTGCATCGTCAAGTGGGTACGTCCTACCGTGGCAAATAGTTCATCGGTTCTGTTGAGGAAAATGGCTATGTGCGTATGTCTGAGATCATGACTTCATCACCTTAGAACCACAGCTGATTTCATCTCCCTCACGCTGTTCCCTTTTTACTTCCTAAATATGTCAGGTGGGGCACAACGTATGCACACTGAAATGAAGGCCGAATTGGAGAATTCCTTGAAAATCCCGTGGTCAGCGAAAAATGTCCGCTGTTCTGCTTTCTGTGCAGATTGAGCGTGACTACAGCATAAGTGTGGGGACCAAGCATAAATAATGGCGCTTCTAAAATCGTAAACAGCAATGATCTTACGAATTGTGCGTACAAAAGCTTGCCCAAACTCTGGACGTTGCCATTAATGCCCACTAAATCGCTGAGAACCTTCTTCGCCGTGGTTTTGCGGACCTGTAGGCCGAGAAGTGGCGGCTCCACACGCCACACGGCGGCCGGCTTGACGCGTGCTGCCCCCTTCGCAGACTCGGTGCGGGTGGAGACGCCGCCCAGCGACCAGCAGCGCAAGCTGGAGCAGCTGATGCTGCACGCCAAGGCGCTGCAGCTGCTCTCGTCGGCGCTCTCGCTGGCCAAGGAGCAGCTGCGCGCGCGCAAGCTGCACCCCACGGCGGCCGTGCGCAAAGGTAAGGCAGGGCACGACGGCGGCCGGCCGTCAACGCGCGCGGGAGCCGGCGGCGCTCGGGAGCGGCTCGAGTAGAGGGCGCTGAGAGCGAAGCTCGGCCGCCCGGGACCGTGGCCAACCTGCGGGATGTGACCCGGCCGGCGTCCGCCCGGTATGCAGGTCGTGGCTGGGGGGGGGGGGGGGGGGCGGACTTCCCAAAGGGATGGACAGGCGGTCGATAACGGAGGGGGGATGCGCAGGATAGGTGTGGGTTGCCGGGGTGCATGGCGGCTCGTTAGGTTCATGCGGCGTCGATTAACGTGTGAAAACAGAGGTGTTCACGAGCGTCGATATTGGTATCTACGGACCTGTAGGGAAATGCATGGAACGTGGGGCGTAAAAACACTTCCATCGCTTTACGGCGGTTAGTCACGTAGATCGGAGTGGACAAGTAATCAGAGGCGAAGCACAAGATGCTGTAAAGGCACAAAGGTATCGCTCGAGTCAGTATCTTTATAACTTATCTCGCTTGAGTCAGTACCCTTGCAAGTGATCTCCCTTGAGTCAGCATCCTTTGCGATTGGAGGTACGTCAGTGTTTTCGAGCGGCCCTGGCCCAAGCGAAGCATCTTGTTACCCAGCGTTCGCTACACCATATGGTGTTTCGGCCAGCTGTAAGGAAGCCCAGTGTATTCCGTTTCGTGCTACGCCGTCACACGACAGAGGGTCGGTCCAGTGGACATTGACGGGATCACACAAGTGCGAACATGCTGGTTCTTTCACGTGCCGGAGCGATCACGTCGGGTGGGCCTTCTGTTGGTGGTGGTAAGCCAAAGTCAAAGAAACGGGTGCCGTTCTCTGTCGTGGCAAAATCTTGTCCGAAATCTCGTTGCACCATGGCTTTGTTCGAACCTAATGCGAGCTATTGCGCGTAAGAACTCTGATCTGATAATGCCGAAAAACCAGGAACTTAAGTCTTTTATTGCTGATATCAAGCAAGGAATTGTTGGTATCGTTCGGAACGAAGTCACAGAAACCTTATCTAGGTGGACCCCGTTTTTGTGTTTTTGTTTTGGCAGAAGCTTTGTGCTGCGGTCGTCTGGTGATATGGGTCCTCATATGGCTGTGTCGCCCGGCCGGGCTTTCCGCAGTCTCGCAGTCGACCCTCGGACCGCTGACGGCGCGTATTTATCTAATCATGGCACCTCGCCAGCTCTGTCGAGTCACGCCCAGTGGTTCCAAAACACGGGCCACGCATGGCGCGCCGGCAGCGGCGCGGCGCACGTTCTGTAGGGGCGGCCTACGTCCTCCCCCTCCCCGCGCTCCGTACAGAGGGTCGCCGCTCACGTGGCCTTCGGCTCGGCGCCGTCCCTGACTGTCCCGGAGGTGGGCCATGCCACAAGGCCACGGGGGCAGCTGGGGTGGTGTGCGTCTATGACGCCGTGAACGCATCTTTGTTGGCGTGGCCTCGTGTGGCCGTGAACAGCTCGGCATTGTCAATCCCAGATTATCATTCCGTCCATTGTTGACGTTCCCTCACGAGTAGACAGCTGGAATGTTGTGTTTCGGCGTATTCGATCTGTTTAGTCTGTGCTGAGTAGCGTGTGACGTCTACCACTGCGTCGACGGCCGCGGCCGGGCGCCGTTGCAGCCGCCAGCTGCGTCACGTGACTGACGCCGCGTCACGGAACTGGCTGCACCTGTCAGTCGTGGTGGCGTTGCGCAGCGGCCGCGCGCCAGCCCCGCGCGAAGCACGCTGACTGACGCCCGCCCGTCCGTCTGCCGTTTCAGTGCTGTACCAGATGAACGACACGTTCCGCCAGTGTCTGCAGACGTGCCAGCAGCTGAACCAGGGCAACGTGGTGGAGAAGTCCGGTCTGGACGTCATGACGTGCCACCTGCAGGCCGACAAGCTCATCTACAACCACGCCATCGAAATGGTGAGTGGCCACGCCCCAGGCAGCGGAGGCGCACGGGCGGGGGGACCTGAGGGGCCGTCGCCGCGCGCATGCAGTCGAGATGGTACGGAGACAACCCGCACCCGTCGAGGCGGCAGGCTTGTGTCATGCTGCCGCGGCGCTGGACGTCTCCGGCGTCCCGTGACGGAGCGTGACGGAGGGAGGACGGTCACGGCCGTAGCGCGGCCCGGCACAGGCGTGTCGCTCGGCGGTCAGGCCGTCCCGTGACCGGGTGTGACGGAGGGAGGACGGTCACAGCCGTAGCGCGGCCCGGCACGGGCGTGTCGCTCGGCGGTCAGGCCGTCCCGTGACCGAGCGTGACGGAGGGAGGACGGTCACAGCCGTAGCGCGGCCCGGCACAGGCGTGTCGCTCGGCGGTCAGGCCGTCCCGTGACCGAGCGTGACGGAGGGAGGACGGTCACAGCCGTAGCGCGGCCCGGCACAGGCGTGTCGCTCGGCGGTCAGGCCGGCTCGGTGCACCTCCGCCCGGCCGGGGACGGGGCAGCCGGACTGGGGCTGTGAGCGGACGGTCGTGTTTGGCGGCCGGAGCCGAGGCTGCGTCGCCATAGCAGCCTGACGTCGTCGCACTGGGCGCGTCGATCTCCGTGTAGGTCTGAGCTGTGGAGGCTAGTGGTGGCATCGCGCTCCAGCTAGCGGGGATGCAGACTGCGCGGCTTTGTTAACCATTGGCGATACCGGTCACTTCATTGCAAAGGGATGGCCGTTCAAGGGACGCGATGTTTCATTTATTCATGGCGACTCATTGGACGAAAAACAGGTCGTTGGCTGCCCGCTTGGCTGACGGGAAATGTGTGCCCAAGCAGCCACATGGGCCTCTTTCGGTGGGTTTTGTCTAGATATACTGTGTGTTCTTTAGTGACTGTGCCACAGTTGCGAGATGACATCAAAAAGCTGTGTAATCTCCGTCGGAACCAGTGACCGCCTCCTCAGCCTGTGTTCAATCCGTCGATCGGTACCGATCGGCGCCAGTATCGGCCGCTGCTGTGGCCCCGATGGTGGACCGCCCTGGCTCTGTGCGGCGCCGCGGGCCGTGCGGCCGCCGTGGCCCGACCGGCGGGCGGCGGGCGGCGGGCGCCGGCACGCAGCGCCGCCGGCGCTTCAGCCCGCTGTCGAGCGCGCTCTCCGGTCGCCGACGGCACGTGCTGACCCCCGCCGTCCGTTGCAGTGCCAGCACGCGGCGCTGGACGAGCTGTTTGGCAACCCGAACGAGTGCTTCCATCGCTACCAGACGGCGCACATCCTGCTGCACGCGCTCTCGCAGCAGACCAAGTGCGACCACGACAAGAAGGCGCTGGAGAGATGTGAGTAGCGCTACGGCCGTGTCGCGCGACCTTGACGACACTGTAGGAGCTGCGCCACGCGTGACCTCCATGGGATCAAATCCATTATCGAGTTGGCCCGCCGCTGACACCGCCCAAGTGGCCGCGTGGGCGGCGCGAGTCCGGCGCGCGCTGACCTCGCTCCGTCCGTGTCCACAGACAAGGATGCCGTGGAGAAGCGGCTCTTCATCTTGAAGGAGCACGGTATCAACATCTACACGGTGGACAGCGCCGCCAACTGAGCGGGCCGGCGAGGCTGCCTCTGCCCTCCTCCTCTCACCTCTGCCGGCCTCGCTCCTGTCGCCGGGCCGCGCGCTCCTCTCCGTCAACGATTCCTAACCCTGAGTCACTTTAGCCGTAGCCGGGCCGGAGGCGCCCCCGCCACGCTTTTGCGGATCGGCGCGCGCGCGCGCGCGCGCGCGGCTGGTTTCATATCTTCATACAGAGCGTTCGTCGTGTGGCTGCGCCGCGGTCGGCAGTGATGGCTCGGACGGCGGATGGAGTGCGCTTATCAGTTGGTCTCGGCGCTGCGTCCGCGGCCGGCTGGCCGGCTCTAGTACTGGGTAGGTGTCGTGTCGCCGCGCGGTGTCTCGCTGTAGGTGCGCTTCCCTGTTAGCTGGCCGTGCGCAGCGGCCTCATCCCTCGCGTGTTTGTGTGCGTGTGTGTGCATGCCTTGCCGAACCCGGCGCCAGCGGTCGGCAGAGCGGCAGCGGCCTCGGATCAGGCGCCGGCCCGATGGCCTGGCGCGGCAGCACGGGTAGCTAAGGATGGGAGGGCGGCGGCCGGCCCGGTGACGGCCCAGTATTGGTTTGCGGCCGCGTCACCGGGCGCCGTCCGCCGCAGCGTCGCCCCGGCGACCGATACACATAAGTCTAGTTTATTGGCGCGCCGCTGACTGGCGCTGACGACGCCGCACGAGGCCGGGCGGTGCCCGCTGGTCGAGGCCCGCCGGCAGTCTCCTCGGGCGTGACAGGCACGGACGTACGCGTGCACAGCAGTATGGTAACACGTGCGTGTGGTGTGTCCGTGTGCGCGTACCTGCGCATGCATTACGTCTATTTTAGAGTCGCAGCTCCTTACCATGCTCATACGATGTTGTAGCGCGTACGATTTTAACTGTAGCTGTCGCCTCGCCTCCCTCGATGTGAGCTGCCGGCGGACGCAGCAGCCATATACATGTACGATAGTGCGTCGCGTGGTGCCCCTCCCAGGAGCTGGCAGGCGGCGCGGCCGGCCCCCCGTGCCGGCGGAGGAGTACGCCCAACCACCGCGCACAAGAACCGGCGAGTAGAACGCTGTTTTGTGATAGTCATCATGAGTTGTTTCAGTTCATGCTCGGTTGTGTACAGCGCTTATTTCATTCTCATATATGATTGGTACCTGGATTATTCCCAGTCACCGCCGTCTTAACTGAACATATTGTCTTTCGCTCATTGAAGTTTTAAACATTGCATTGCAGTCAGGTATGCGTGCTGTGTCGCGTTGTCTTAACTGTAAAATACCTTCGTTAAGTGCATCAGATGTAGATGTTATTTAAAGCTGTACAAATAAATGTTGCACTATCCTCGAGTGACTGCGTTTCGCTGCCCAAAACAGTCTGGGATGTATCGACGGAAACATCAGCTGCCAAATGTTGGGCGCGGAGACGGAATTGCAAAATGAGTGCACACACTTTCGCATGTGGGATGCGAGAAAATTACTCATTCTGATTCGTGGTGTGGGATGGGTACAGGCCAACAACTGGCGCACATTGCAAGGATACCGCGCATGCGTCAAGCACGCCACTGGGTTACCGATGTGAGCGAGCATGACCCCGTACGCATCACAGCGCACCGTTTATCCCGAGCAGGTGGTTCTTGATCAGTAGACACCAATAGTCTGAAGTGCACCATGCGACTGGTTGACCAGCCGTTGTGCGGCCACATCTTCACCGGCGGTGCTGAATTGGTGTTTAAGGGCGCGCTGGCGCCGGGGCCATTTTGCGCCCACTTGATGACGGTTACCTACCTCTGCGACGACGCGATAAGTGTGTTGTCAACTAATAACAAGCAGTATCACTGGCACACTGACACTGAGGGGTGAGTGAAAATAATGTCAAAGTCGACGTGTGCTAAAAATGCGAGTACATCCCCAAGTTCACCACGTGGGTCTCGGCCGAGTAACCGATGAAGGGACGCTGGAGGAAAAATCGTCGCCTTTCCGTCTCAGGGCACCGGCATAAGACGAGGACATGTTCTACAGACAACCGGTTCCCGCATCTATCACACAGTGGCACATCCCCACGCATCAAGTAAAACGAGTGTGTTGCATATGTAGGACCCAACCGAAGCCTACAAAGGGCGACTTCCTGGAAACGGTTTCGCCGATGGGAAGATTCCCGGTCACCCAGCTGGGGCTTGATTTCCCTGAAAGCGTAAAGATGTCGGTCGAACATGTGCTGCCACATATTGCGGACATATTTGGAAATGACCAACTTCAGATCTCGAGCGGGTACATAAATTGGTATTGGTTTTCTCTCACACGCCGCAGATTTCGCTGCGGCGTCCGCTTTCTCATTTCTCATTATCACTATGTGACTGGGGAACCATATAAATGTGATACGGCAGGAAGTGTTGTCCAGCCATTCCAGTTCCTCCCAAATTGAGCGCGTCCAAAATGAGTGGTCACGCGACATCGCCGTCGGGTCTAATGATAAAAGTGCACTAAGTGAGTCGATCAAAATGACTACATCCCTTTCAGGACGGCAAGCAACGTACTGAATCGCTGCTAAAATAGCAAACAGTCCTGAGGAAAAAAACTGACACGTGATGCGGGAGGCAGAGACCTACGGTGTAAACACCGCAAACAAATGCGCAACCCGCTCCTGTTGAGCTCTTGGACCCATCAGTAAATATTTGTAATTAGTTCATTTATTGTGAGATCCGTTCAACGAATGGCTGAGGAACTCTCGTGGTGAAGTGCCATTTTTATGATGCTGACAGAGTTCCAAATCATACTTAATACTCAGACGTCTCCACGGAGCTGGGTCCCGAGGAGTGTGCGGGGCAATGTCATCCAGCGTAATAGCTGTCTCGTCCAGCAGTCCCGGACGCGCAGACACATCGTCCGCGCTGATTTGGGCCGCCCCCTCAAGAAAAAAAACGGATTAACGTCTGAAAGAAGGTGAACCCAAATGCTGGGTGATCCGGAAATTGCGAAACCTTTCTAGCGTAATTTAAAGTAAGTCGTTGTCTCCTAAGAGGCAAGGGCGGTTCATTCGCTTCCACCAGCAAGTTTCTTGTTCGGGTCGTACGAAACGCCCCAGTGGCTATACGAACACATGTTTGGTGGATTGTGTCCAAAACCTGTTTCGAAGATGTAGGAGCACTATCGTAGACAGGGCATAATCGATGACTGATTGAATTAAAGCCCTATGCAAGTTCAACAGGGTGCACATATCGGCTCCAATGGTCATACGACACATTACTTTCATGAGGTTCATGCGCTTTCGACACTTAATCTTAATCATCTTAAAGTGTTGCTCAAACGTGAGCCGACGGTCAAACGTGAGGCCTAGGAAACAGATGTCGTTACAAACTAGGATAGCGGCATTATAGAGTCACAACTCCGGGTCTCTACAGCCTCTAATCCGTGAGCAGAAGTGTATGAAGTTAGTCTTGGTGCTCGAAAATTTGAAACCATTCTTTAGGCTCCACTCAGTTAGTCGAATCATGCATAACTGAAGCTGCCTCTCTGCAGACGTCGTTGTGGGTGCTGCACACCAGATGGCAAAGTCGTCCACAAACAGTGACCGAGTAATGGTAGATGGCAGACAGTCGGCAATATCATCGATCATCAGCGCAAACAGGGTTACGCTAAAGACGCTCCGTTGGGGAACACCGTTCTCTTGTTCGTAGCGATCAGATAGCATGCCACCCACTCAGATTCGGACGAATCGACGACGTAAAAAGTTTTCAATGAACAGTGTCATGTGAACTCGGAGTTCACACTTGTGTGCTTTGCTTAGAATGCCATAGCGCCAGGCGGTATCATAAGCCCGCTCAATGCCAAACAAGATGGCTATCGTGTGACGTCTTTGTTTAAAAGAATGACGTGTAGTTGTGCCTAAAATCGTTAAGTGGTCAACAGTGCACCGGTTCTTCCGAAACTCGCACTGCACTTAAGAAAGACAGCCGTGAGTTTCAAGATACCTCATGAGACGATCATTCACTATCCTTTCTAGCACTTTGCGTAGGGCTGAAGTCAGCGAAATTGGGCGGTAGTGCAGTGGGTCGGAACCATCCTGTACGGGCTTCTGTATCTATAATGGCCTCCCTATAATGGCATCTGACTATAATGGCCTCCCGCCACGACTCCAGGAAGTCATCATGCAACCATATGTCGCTGAAAAGTTTAAGTGAAGCATGGAGGGACTCCTTCTTTAGATGGTTTAACATATAATTGTGGACTTTATCCAATGCAGGGGACACACTCTTATCTCTCTTAAGAGCAGTGCAAAGCTCCATGACAGTGTATGGTTTGTTGTACTCATAAATCTCTGAGTCAGGAACTCTAAAATTGATTGTCATCTTCTCACTTCGTTTCTTGTAACGAATAAAGCGTGGGTCGTCTGTTCCATGTCGGCACCTTTCTGCAAATGCGAGGCCTATTTTGTTGGAAACTTCCTATGTGTTTGATATCGTGATTCCCGCCACTTTCAACACCGGAGCTGCAGTGGAGACGCTCTTACCGGAAATGCGACTAATTCGCTGCCACACTGCACTGAGTGGGGTGTGACGATTTAAACCATTTACATATTCCCTCCATGATGCACGTTTTGCCTCGCATATTGTGCGTTTCGCCAATGCTCTAGCCTTTTTAAAGCGATGAGGTTGTTGGCCGTTGCGGAACGCTTGAAAACCTTGAACGCCCGCTTCCGCTTAAGAATTGCCGCCTTGCAGTCCTCTGATCCCTAGGGGACAGGGATCCTGCGCGGCTCAGGTGATGTCAAGGGAATGTAAGACCTTGCAGTGTCGACAATTGTGAATGTTACTTGTCGTGTAAGAGACGTTGCATTGACGTCTTCGGTCGGTTGCACTCCAATATGACATTCGTCAGTAAACCTTTGCCAGTTTGCACGTCGAAAGTTCCAGCAGGAGGGCCTGCCTGGGTGTCCAGCATTCATCCCAAGCCATATTGAGAAATGGTCGCTCGCACACGTAGTGCTCTCAACGAACCAAGACAGCCGACAGAAAAGGGACGAGGAGCAGATAGAAAGGTCTATCGCTGAAGTGGTGCTGGACGGCGGAGATACATGGGTCTGCCGGCCGGCGTTAACAACACAAAGACCATTATAATTCAGCAAACGTTCGAGATGTCGGCCCCGGCGGCTTGTGGAACTGCAGCCCCACGCAGAACAGCTAGGCAACAGCTTGTCGGGCAGTGTTAGGACTTACAGGAGAACACGATATACCGTGATGAACTAAAACCGCCAGCCCACCATGGGCGATCGTGCCAGTTGTCACGTCCTTCCGAAAGATCCTGTAACATTTGATGTTAAGGTGAGTGTCATTAGATACCTTTGTTTCTTGTAAGCATGCCACAACCGGGCTATGATTAGATAAGAGTGGGTGTAGGTCCGACATGTTGGCCCTCAAGCCACGCATGTTCCATTGTAAAAATGTCAGTGGCACGCTAGATATGCTTGTATGTAGG